GGGGAGGCACTTTTCCTCTGCCCGGCAGCTCTGCGGGACCCCAGTCGGAGCCGGCCCGAGGAGGAGGAGGATCCTAGGACCCAGGTGAGCGAGCCCCGGGAATGCTGCTGCGCATGTGCGGGAGTTGCCTCACCCCGTTCGTATCTAGGGATCCGACGTAAGTCGGATCCACGTAAGTCGGGGACTGCCTGTGTACCTATTTCATTCCATACTGAAAACACCACAGTTTAGAATAAATGAGCAGTTATTTTTGCCCATAAAGGTAGCAGAAGTAGAATGACAGGGTTATTACAAGCAAGGATTGAGCTTCAAGAGTTATACCAACCTATTAGATTTTGAAAATTGCCCAGTGTAAATACAGCCACACACAATTTTTTTAAACATGAATTGCCAGATTTCTGTTGGCATTAATCTTTTTAATACTATAATCTTGGAATCCTCAGAAGTTAGCCTACTGAAAATTTGGCTCAAAAGTTATTCCCTCCTTCTTCTACTTTTAGCCTATTTACTGTATATTCCATGTGAATTACAACCATCATAATCATTAGGTTACTTCTCACAGTTATGGTTTTAATGGTTTTTGCAACATTAGATGCACAACATTTTCAAGCATCAAAAACCAGGCTTTGCTATCTAACATTTTTTATAAAGATAGTAAAATTTAATGAGTGCTCATGATCTATGATGAGACAGGACATCTGTTCTTTTCTTTCTGAGCTAAAATACCCACCGTGTCTTGTTCTGGCACAGTGGGAGAGAACAAATAGGATCCAATTAATCATTCTAAACTATAAGCTATATTAAGTTATAGTTTCTCAATAGGTTTGTCACACTCCATTAACAGGGTGCAGGTGTTCTAAAATAGCCTTGGTAATATGTTTTCATCACATGAAAAGCTCCCACTAGTAATCCTGTTTATATATATTAAATACAAAAAATTATTAATGCACATTTAAGGCAGCGCTTCAAAACCTGCAGAAGCAAGGACAGGAGTAGTAGGTATCAAGGTAACAAAAGCTCTACTTCCTAACATACGTGTATTTTGATTATGGATGTAAAATCCCCGTTAATTAGTTAACTGGTTAAACATTAAGTTTAATCAGTTAACTAATTAAACAGGTACGGATGGAGGATGCCACTCCAGCCAGCTGGGCTGGAGCAACACTCCCCCCCACACACAGTCTCCCGCCCCACCACTACTGGCAGGGGCTACCCCAGCCTGGCTGCTTCTGGCCCTGTGCAGGAGCCCAGCAGGGTTGGAGCAGTCCTCTGGCCATGCCTGGGTGGGGCTCTCCCAGGGTTCTGGTTAACCAGTTACCTGTTAACATCCCTAATTTTGATAGGTAATGAAAAACATTTCTCAGGGGAAAAAAACTTGGTGCCGACATACTAACAGGTAAATAGGCTACAAGTATGTGTGCAACAGTAGGCCCCTGTTGTCACCCCCTCCACACATTGCAATGATACCTGGTAAGGTATCATTTGAAAGCTCAATTTGCTGGAATCATCCTGATAAAATATGTATAGCAACTTACGATTTTACGTACAAAGCTTTCCCTGTATGATGGTGACATTCTCAACCCCACAACTTTGACTAAACAGAGGTTGATAAACCGGTCTGTCCTAAACAAAGGAAAATGTCTTCCGCTTAATTTGCATTTAAGCAGTAAACAGTCATTAAGCAGGAAAGGAAAACAACAAGCAAGCAAGAAAAAAGCAACAGGGAACATCCTTCCACATAGATATTTTGTTTCCCGGTTCCCTAGCTGGAAAAGCTTTTCAAGAGAGAAACAAACTATAAAAAGGGACAAACATTCCAAAACACCCCATTCTCCCTGCCCATTGTTGCTTCAGGAACACTGAATGCAATGGAAACAGCTATTAGATTTTAGGGGAGGAGTCCAAACCTATAATGTTTGATAAGCTGGCTGTGAAAGCATGAGAAATTTTGCTTTAATCTGATAGTCAGTTAAATTATATATTATTGAAAGTCTTCTTTTTTCTTAGTGATAGAAATGTAGCCGTGTTAGTCTGGTGTAGCTGAAACAAAATACAGGACTATGTAGCACTTTAAAGACTAACAAGATGGTTTATTAGATGATGAGCTTTCGTGGGCCAGACCCACTTCCTCAGATCAAATAGTGGAAAAAGATAGTCACAACCATATATACCAAAGGATACAATTAAAAAAATGAACACACATGAAAAGGACAAATCATTTCACAACAGAAGGGGGATGTGGGGGGGTGGGGGGGGGAGAGGAGAGGAAGGTAAATGTCTGTGAGTTAATGATATTAGAGGTGGGGAAAGGTAGATGTCTGTGAGCTAATGGTATTAGCTGGAAATGCCCTAGGACCCAACAGTCCGACATGATCTTTAACCACCCCTGGTAAAATAGGGTAAGACGGTCCCCAAAGGGCGGACAGATAGGCGCTACTGATACTCTGCTCTCTGGCGTACCTTCAAAATGAGGGCTTAGCTTGGTGACCGGGGGACGGCCCTGAGCTTCTCTCGGAGTCTGACCGAGGCCCCCTACGCCTGCCCCTGAAAAGGTGAGGGCGGCTATTGTTGCGGCCTCTCCTGCGACCCCTGTCGTTGTTCTGCCCCCTTCTAGGGTAGGGTCTAGCCTGGAAAGAGCGCCTCTGAGGCGCCGGGGTATGTATCCCTAGCGACTTCAGGGTTGCCCTTGAGTCCTTCAGGCTATGCAGCTTGGAATCAGTCTGCTCTGAAAACAAGGCCGGCCCCTCAAAGGGCAGGTCCTGGATAGTGGTCTGCACCTCGGGTGGGATGCCAGACACCTGCAGCCAGGCACTACGCCTCATCACCACCCCTGTGGCCATGGTGCGGGCTGCCGAATCGGCTGCGTCCAAGGCCACCTGGAGAGAGGTACGCGCCACTGCTTGTCCCTCTTCCGTCAAGGCCCCGAACTCCTGGCGGGATTCGGGAGGAAGCTGGCTGGCAAATTTGCATAGACGCCCACGTATTAAAAGCATAACGCCCCAGCATCAGTTGCTGGTTAGCTATACGTAGCTGGAGGCCCCCTGTGGCATAGGCCTTCCGGCCAAGCAGGTCCAATCTCCTAGGCTCCTTTGCCTTCGGAGTGGGGCCTGGAGGCCCTTGGCGCTCCTTCTGCCCAGCGGCCTGAACCACTATGGATCCCGGAGCCGGGTGGGTAAACGGATACTCATGCCCCTCCTGGGGTACAGAGTATCTTCTCTCGACCCCCTTCTGGGTCGGCACAATAGAGGCCGGCGTCTGCCACAGGGTTTTAGACAGCTTGTCCACCGTTTTATTCAGTGGGAGCGCCACCCGACCAGGGCCCGCTGCCGCTATGATGTCCACCATCGGATCTAAGTCCTCGTGAACCTCCTCGTGCTGGACCGCAAGATTGACCGCCAGCCTTCGGAGCAGGTCCTGGTGCGCCCTGGAGTCCATAGACAGGGGCTGGGGTGCGGGGTTGGCCAGGGCCTCGTCTGGTGAAGATGATCCGCCTCGGTCAACTGTGCCCCCGGTTCCTCCTGACCAATAACCGGGGGTCTCGGCCCCGACGCCATGGGCGAGCCACTTCCAGGCGGGGGGGGCTGTCAAGGGGTTGGCAGATGGGGTGCTACTTCTTCGAGATGACCCCGCTGCCGGCCCCGTAGGGGGAGGCCCCTGGGCCTGATGGTATGCCCAGGGCGTCCAGAAAGCCCACTGGGGTTGCCCCTGCGACTGCTGCTGGACCATCGGATCCCGGTGAGATGATCTGACCGACGAGCGGGACCTATGGCGAGGCCGCGACCTATATGAGGGCCCAGTCGAAACCACTGACTCAGCCTCCAACTCCGAAGAGTACTCTGATGCCAACCATGGAGGCACTGATGAAGACTGCACCCTACGTTGATCTGCCACGGCCGATGGCTTGCCCCTGTGCACCACCCGCGGTGCCGGTGGTGGCATGAGTGGAGGCCTTTGCTGCGGCGGTACCGTTAATATCAACTGATATTACTAACAATGGTTTAAAAAACAAACGTGGCCCTCCTGTTGAAACAGACGGCCACTATTTCAAGCACATAGTTCTTTGGCTGCATAGTATAATAGCAACTCATAATTCAAAGCAAGGGAGAATATACCATCTTTATTGTAAAACATTTTAAAAGTATGGCATAATGATACAGGATGTTATTTTCAAATAGCTTAATTTCCTTTTCTCACACACCTAACATACAAAGCTCATGCTACCTCTTATTCAACCAAGTTAGAACCTAAGCTACAAATCATTATTTTGCTCTAATTTCTGAAATAATGCTAAACTTCGCAGTCTAGACTCTCTTTCTCCATCTTTCCACAAAATAATAAGGTGGTCAGCAGAGCATGTCACCAGTCCAAGTTCATCAAAGTACAGGAACATCTGCAACAAAAAAATTTAACATGATTATGCAACACATGTAGATGTAGGCAAGTTGCTTATTTTCAGCACATATTTGCTGCGGTGGTACCGTGCCCAGCTGCATCTGGTAGGCCGGTAAGTAACCCACCGGTGCCGCCACATGTTGCGGCACCGCGGTCTGCTGCTGAGATGGCACTCCCAGGGTGTAAGCTGGCATCGGTGCTGGGAGAGGCAGCAGCGTCCATGCCGTGCAGGGCACCGGCTGTGGTGCCGCGGCCGGCGTATAATACGGTGCGGGGCCCTGCACCGCCCATGGGCCCATCTGGGGTACCGGTGCCAGGTGCCCAGGTGCCAGGGCCATCAGTGCCGCAAGCGCACTCACTCGCGGTGCCGCTGCCTGTGCTGCCGGGAGCAGGACCAGGGTCGGTGCCGGTGTTCGTCCCGGCTCCGGTGCCGGTGTTCTCCCCGGCACCGGGGGAAACTGCTGCTGCTGGGCCGAGGCCTGCCCGTCGCCCAGAGGGTCCCACGGCCCAGCCCTGTCCTGCTGGGGGGCACTTGAGGCCTGTGCCGGCGCAGTCCGCTCCTGCGGTACCGGGCCCTCCCCTTCATCCACCGCCATGTGGCTGAGGGCCCGGGCCGC